GCCTAAGTGTACGCATGGCAGAAACATTAGATGAGGCATTGTCCAAAGTAACAGCAAAGACCTTTTCACTCAAACCATAATCATCAAGCACAGATATGACCCTTTCAGCAATGTTTTGTCCACTGTGGGACACATCAATAAGCACAAGACCAAGCACTCTCTTCTCTAGTTGCCAATCAGGATTTATGTAATGAGCAACCACACTAAGATAGTCCTCTTTGGCATTACCAGACCAAATGTCAGAGGTAAGACAAACACAATTTATAACAGATGAACTAAGAGTCTCAATAAGCTTAGTCTTTTTATCAGTGAAGTATTTGGCTATGTCTCTAGTGGTGGTTTGTTTAGAGACAGGAACAAACTTTGGATTATGAGCATTTCTAATGTAATCATAAAAAGCATCAGTTTCACCCATACAGATAGGCACATCAAGTCTAGAAAGCAATCGAACCAGTTCAGTGCGAGCAACAATAGGACAGTACTCCCAAGTACGCATACTACCATCAGGATTAAAAGATATCTGAGACTGAGTCATGCGAGTTTTCTCACGCCTCTTAACACATTTGTCCCTATGACGAGTGAGGTGACCAGTGCCACCACTAGAGAGAGCAGAGTACTGCTTATTGCAGTGGATGCAGCGAGCGGCATACCTGATCTTCTTACCTTTGGGACCTTTTTTGAACAACTTCTTGAAATCGAGCCACACAGCCGAGGTAGAAGGACGTGAGCGCTTGTCGTCGTTGTCATCCTCTCCTTCTTCTTCGCCCCCTGCTGCATCAGTTTCAATGGGATCCTCAATGCGACGGCCGAACAGCTCCGCAGCGTCCTCATGTAGGTCATCCTCATCGTCATCTCCGGCTAGCCCGCACATCCGCCTCTCATCGTTGGCGCTGACCTCAACGGTCTCGTCGGAGGAGGGGCCATAAATCACTCACTTGGGCGCTGGTTCCTCAACGGCTTCACACATAAACAAAGAATCGATGAGTGAGATCTAGTTAGGGTTAGGGTTAGGGTTAGGGTTAGGGTTAGGGTTAGGATTTGATTACCTTGGCGCGACGACGGAGCACCGAGGAACACGCGCGACGTCGATGACGCTGGATCCGCCCTCTGGGTTCCTCGACGGATGCGAATCAAGAGGGGACCTACAGTAGGGGAGCACATCAGATCGAGATCCAGGAGGGGATAAGAGAGGAAGAGCCAAATCTGGAGGGAAGCAAAGCTCAACTTACCGACATCCGGAGCACCAGAGTTGCCGGGGGCCCGGCGAGGTCGACGACGGTGACGAATGAGACGACGAGGTGGACGACAAGGCTACATCAACGGGGCGAGATCAAGACGAGAGGCCGTTGTGTGCCCGCAGCTCTGCCGGCCAATGCCCGGTGGCTCTAGATGCCACCGGAGGGAGAAGAAGAGAGAGACACCACCGGAGGCGAGAGAGAGAGAAGAGAGAGAGAGAGCCGCTCGCGTGCAGAGGTTAGAAGCGAGAGAGAGAGAGAGAGGGAGCTGGAAACAAATGAGCTAGGGTTTCGTTCGACACGGGCGGCGTGGGGGGCCTGGCTTATATAGTCGACCCATCCATCGGTTGGATCCAACGGTCATGAAGGATCTGGGGAGGGATCAACGGCTCTCCTTTTCTTTGGATCCATGCCAAGGCCGCGGCGTTGATAAGCTAGTTAGCCGTGCTGCGCGTTCGGGCCATGCTAGCGGGCCGTGGTGGCGGCAAAGCAACGCTTCTTTAACTGCCGGGCATGCAGCAGATCGGCTCTTTGAACGGCGGCACCATTGTTGAGCGGGCCGGGCCGTGCTTTTTAGTGCCGTGCCCGTGCCGGCCCACCGTGTTAGTGCCATTTGGAAAAGTATAACATTTCCCTAACCTTCTCTTTTGAAATTTAAGAAATGATTAAAATAATCGTGCACTGTGTAGGAGCAAAGAACAGAGTCTTCCAACAAATTCTCGATCTAACAGTGTGATCTAGCTAATTACACGTTTCAGCAAAATTCATCTAAAAAACTGTGTATAGTCAAACCCAGGAAAAGTAACTGTATAATCAAAAGTGCTCTACCTATTTTCTTCATATAAATTCCATAAACAAATTTGGAGTACAAAATGTCAGCGCAAGCAATGAAGTTGCTGAGAAAAAGAAAAAAAACGACACTTTATTGGAGAACATAGACTCAAGTCCTATTGGCAGTAACCATATCGATCCATCCCTCCGACTGCAATACATCCGCGTTCCGCCGCCTATAAATCAAAACGATCGAGGTCACGGCCACCGTCTCACGGAACGTCACGCACAGTGCCTCCGTTCCTCCGACTCTCCACCATGTCGGCGGCGGACGCTCTGGGGCTCCCGCCGGGGGTCCGGTTCGACCCCACGCCCGAGGAGCTCGTCGAGTTCTACCTCATGCCGCGCGCCTTGGGCCAGCCCACCGCGGTCCCGGGGATCATCATCGAGGACGCCGAGGCCACCACTAGCTCGCGCCACCCCTGGAAGCTGCTCACGCGCAACCGGCGCACCGACGACGACGATGCCTACTTCTTCGAGCGCATCGCGAGCGGGGACGCCGCCGCCAAGGGCGGCGCTGCTGCTCGCCAGGACCGCAGCTGCGGTGGCAGCCGCTGGACGTGGGTGGGGCAGAAGCGCTTCCCGGACGAGGTGCTGCCCCTGCGCGGCGAGCAGGTGTCGTGGGGCAAGTACTCGCTCAACCTGCAGGAGGGTCGGCGCAAGGGCGGCAGCACGGGGTGGGTCATGCACGAGTATACCATCGCCTCGCCGCAGTGCCCCCCGTGCCCCGTCAAGCTCTGCCATGTCGCGTTCACCGGCCACGGCCAGAAGCGCCAGCGCGTGCCCGACGACGACGGCGGCGAGGGCGAAGAGCTAGAACTAGAACCCGGGATGCCTCAGCGTAAGCGTGTCGCCACCGCGAACGCGTCGACGCCTGCGGCTTCCGTGATAACGACGGCGACGCCGGATCACGGCCTCCGGGAGACGCGTGCGCAGAATCAACAACAGATGACATCATCGGTTGGGAATTTCTGGGGCTCAGACGCTGGATTCAGCCAAGAATCATCCATCACCATCCTGGATCCTTGGTACCCTGACGCCGGAACAAGCCATCAAGAACCCTTTGTGCTGGATCAGGAACTCGCTCAGAACCAAGGATATTTCTCAAACCAGCCGCAAGCTTATCATCAAGAACAATTCGTGAACCACGGGGTGCCATCCGCCGAAGCTTTTTGCGCAATGCTATTGGCATCAGGCCTCGGATCATCAAACGCAGGCCAAGAACCTCCTTCAGGGCAGCCTCTTACTAAAGAAGAACAATTGCACCTGCAGCTGGATCAGCTTTTTGGCGGCATGGGCACGCAGCACTGCCCTCCCATACAACCGGTCAGTCACGACGCCGCGTACCATGAGGAGCGCATCCAGACAACGGCAGCTGCAGCGACGCCCGATCTCCCGCTGCCGATGGATCAAGAATCCTGCACTACGGAGCAATCGCATGGAGACATGGACGACCTACATGAGTTCTTCGAGGGATGGAGCGATCTCGACACCTTCACGGACACGTCAGGCGTGCAAGACTACGACGATGGCATGGCTGCCTGAACTCTTGCCGGCGATGGTCCTGGAGATGGAACCTGCTATGACGGGGGAAACGGAAATTTTGCAGTTACGGCATAGGTGTCCCGTAAGAATTTTGATTCTTTCCATCGTTCTTGTTTGTTGTGAGCATACTCTGTTAGTTGCCGTGAGCACCCTTAGCATACTCTGCTACCTGTATCTTGGTGCTCTGTTTTGACTTTGAATTTACACTACTAACCCAGAGTTGACATCGCTGGATCGTTTCTTCATCCATCGTCATATCGTGTTCCAATATTATCCTCCACGCGATTCTTTTTTTTTTTTTGTTTCTTTGGGGTTCAGATTATATATTGTAGATTTGTAGTTTTTTTAAAAAAAAACCCCGTAGATTGTAGCTAAGTTACTTATGGGTGTGATTTTGTTTCATGGGACCCAATTGATTCATGGGAGTATCAAGTAAGAGATGTGGTTCTGTTATACTGAACGATGCTTGTTCTAGTAATGTGATAGGATTTTTACCGTAATAATAAGCGGGGGGCAAGTTGGACTCCATGCCAGAGAACAAAACTAGACTTATGGTAGTGAAGACTTTTTTTTTGAAAGGCCAGTGAAGACTTTTGAGAGGCATCTGAGGCAACGGAGCAGGAGTGACCGAGTGACTTCCCTGCTGGTGCAAAGAAAACAGGAACTGGTGATCAAATTGTTAATCAGAAGGAGAAGAAGACCGTCGAGGACCGGAAAACCTTGATGTGTCCTTCCGTCCACAATATGATAATCATGGTGTATAACATTTCATTTCTACATACTTACAACGCTAAAGAATTATTTCTTCTCAACTATCAAACTCCACAATATAGTCAAGATGAAACTTCATCGTCCTAAAACAAATCAATTTCTAGAATAAAGAAAATTATCCTTTAGTTTCACAAATTTTATAGAAAATGGTAACACCATCTATGACACGAAAAGTACACTATTAGAATATATTTCATAATATATTTAGTGATACTAATTTGATGTCATAAATATTGTTCTAACTGCTCGCATGAATACATTAATTATCTTTAAGTTTAGTTGAATTTAAAATAGTTTAATATGACAACTCTATAAGTTCATCTAATTTAGGTATATAGTTTGTTAGGACTTCAGTACACTTCAATTCTAGTATAAATTTTAAACTCTAAATTATGAACTTTTGGATTCTGGACACATGGTTTTGTAGAGTGCAGACTGCAGAGTATTGACTTGACTGCCCCTGGGCCCTCACATGTCAGTCTGAGCCAGACACGGAAGGAAACTGGTGCTGCCATTCCACAGGCAACGCATCGATCCAAAGTCTGATTTGAGTCCACCTCCGGCCTCCCCCTTCCACTCCGCCGCATCACCACTGCCCCCAACGCAAGTGCTCCGGCGATGGACCCCGCGGCGGCCACGCTAGGTGCAGCACCCGCCGCTGGCGCGCCACCCCCGGGCGCAGCCGCAGGGGAGCAGCAGGCAGCTCCCCGGGTTGAGCGGCTCAGCGCGGGGGTGCAGCAGCAGCTGAACCTGGAGGGGATGCGCGCGCGCGCGGTGGGGCTGTACAAGGCCATCTCCCGCATCCTCGAGGACTTCGACGTCATCGCCCGCACCAATCCCAGCGCCTCCCCCAAGTGGTAACTTCACCCCCCGTCCTGTCCCCCTCTTATTGGCTACCGGTTGATGGGCGCAGTGGATTCTAGGGTTTAATTAGGATGCCTCTGCTCTGCTCGTGTGGTGTTGCTGCGCGATTGCTGACTGGTGTGGTGTGGCTGCCTCTGGGTGAATTGCAGGCAGGATGTGCTCGGGCAGTTCTCGATGGTGAGCATGGAGCTCTTCAACATTGTGGAGGACATTAAGAATGTGTCCAAGGTGTTTGTTGTGTACCCCCGGAATGTCAATGCCGAGAATGCTACAAGTATGTTTCTGAGTTTTCTTCTTATTTTCCCCTTTATGGATGTGCATATCTTCTGTTTATCTTTGTGTCAATTTAGTTATCACGTAATGGGATTTGTTTTTCAGAAATCATAATTAATATGTAGTTTGATCTAACATAGAAGAGTTTAACATCTGTTGGTTATTTTCCAGTTGCATGGTTTACTGATTCAGTTATGGAATAGAGCATCTCCAGTTCATGGACACCAATTTCCTGAGACATCTTAAGAGTTCATTAGCCTTGTCTATAGAATTTTGGTTGGTTCAATTAAGACATGAACGGCAACCTTTTTTGAAACATTATCAATGGAAGCATGAAATTTGAGAAGAAGTTATCTAATATATGAAATTTTGCTCAGTTTATGCTGAAGTTTTGTTTGGTAACCAACTGTATTGAGTTCAAAGGAATCCATCAAACATTTCCCCCCTTATTTGACCGAACAACAAATAGTCTTTGGTTGTTCATGGTCCAGTATTGCTCAACACCTGATGGATGAGATTGATTCATCTATGGTTCCATATATTTTTAGAAAAAATACCCTATGATTTTGTTTCTGAAGTAAAGATGAATGAGGACTAGAAGTATGACCAGTTGGGCTAATACTTTTTTTTTTTGCTGTGCCATTTCTTTGGGCTTTTCTCACAAGTTTTATAGTGTCAACCGATGTTTATTTCCACTGATCAAAATTCTAAATGAGGTCTCAGACTTTCAAAGTTTTCTACTAGTCATTGCCCTAATTGCACGGCAAGTTATTCTGAGATAAATAAACACAATGAAAATGACCCAACAAAAATGTATTGGAAATGGTCGCTCTAATTGTTCATGATGCATTGCAATTTAGTGTTCCCATTTTGCATACTGTCAATGGTTGTACAGTTATTTGTTATTAGTGTTGCAGCATAAACCTTATCTGTTCAGTATGAATATTGCAGTACTACCTGTAATGCTGTCATCAAAACTGCTGCCTGAGATGGAAGTTGAGGAAACTACAAAGAGAGAGCAACTATTGTCTGGCATAACTAATCTACCGGTGCCTACACAGATTGAAAAATTAAAGGTAACCAGTTTAGTATTGAAGAATGGAAACCTATAGCAATGTATTGCTTGCTGGATTTATCGGCTATCTATTAATTAGAATGGACTTGGTATTATTCCTTTCAGGTTAGAATAGACATGATTGGAAGTGCTTGCGAAACTGCTGAGAAAGTAATTGCTGAATGCCGTAAGAGCTATGGGCTGGGAACCCGTCAGGGAACAAATCTTGGTCCTACATTGGACAAAGCACAAGCTGCAAAGATACAGGAGCAGGAAGGCCTACTTAGAGCAGCAGTAAATTATGGTGAAGGTGAAAGGCGTATGCTTTGTCAATGTTGATAAAAAAATGCAATTAGCTTTCCAAAATAAATAGTCCTTTTACTTCTATTTTGTGTTACAATTTCAGTACTTATAGCTTTACTGAAATTATTTGATTGTCAGGATTACGGGTACCTGGAGATCAGAGGCAGCCACAATCTCTTCCTAGCCATCTGATAGAAGTGCTTCCTTTAGGAGATGGTGCACAAAATTTTGGTGATAGTTCTGGTACGTAGATTTTCTTGTGTATATAAACTGTCTCAATGAACCTCTCCTTGTTTGAGTTTTGACATCTATGGATTGTCTTATTTTCATGTGCTATAGACCGAACTAAAATCATTTGCACCATTTGCATTGGATTAGTGTTTATCCTCAATCGCTAAAATCATGACCATTTGCATTGGAGATGCGGCCTGTAAAAGTTCCTCATATGTTTAACTCTTTGCCATATTAATTGGAGATATGTTCCGTAAAAGTTCCTTGTATGCTTAACTCCTTGGCATTTGCATTGGAGTTGGAGATGTATTTCACAAAAGCGCATCTAATTACTATTTGTATTTGCAGGTAGTTATCCCAAAAATACGTCAACATTTGCACCTAATAATGTCAACAACCAGGGAAATCAGGTTCAGGTTTCTGTTCTATAATTATAACTGAGTTATTATTATGATATTAGAAGAGCTCCATCTTCTAAGCTGATTGACTGGCATGGTTCATTCTGTTTTTCATGACATCAATCATCTCCCCATGGTATTGATAGGATAGTTATATATCATAGGGAATGGCAATAACCAAACTCAGATAAGTGTTTGATATTTCTGTCTCAGTTTCAAATTTGTTGCCTTCATACTACTTGCAGGCATCCGGAGGACAGTTACTTGGAAGACCTGCGCCATCACCTGGAACCACAGGAACCCCTAATTTCGAGAATGTGTCCACTCCTCCAATGCCATATGCTAACTCTCCTAGGTCAGGCACCAATATGATGAATACCCCTTCCCCTCAGCAGCATCTAACACCACAACAGCAGAGGCAAAAGCTGATGCAAGCGTCTCAACAGCAGCAACTGCATGCTCAGCAGCTGAGGCCATCAGCTGCTGGGATGCTAGCACAGGTAAAGATATATATATATTGAATGATCTGGTTTCCCAGCTTTGATTTGTAATAAGAAGGTAGCAAACAGCCGTTACATGCGCAAGGGGCGCTACCATCCGCAGCCTAGGCTACGGAGGTTTGAGGTTCTACATGGGCTTATTACATACTAAGGAGTTGTGCAACCATTATAGGCTTAAGTTCGCCACCACCAGCTCCCAAACAGCATTTTATCCACCTTTCACAAGAACTCATCAGGAACCCAGACATTCCTAACTCCACCAGCAGGAGACCAGCCAGTGCTGACTCTAGTCTACAATACATGGATCACAAACGCAACGACACCAGTTTTGCCTCTAAGCTTCAGGGAACCTCCATCTCAACCTCCTCTCGTCTCCTGTGCTATAGCCGCTAGTGCTTCGGCCAACTCCTTGTTGCTCAGGCGCATGGCAGCCCTAATCGCCATGACGCCCTGCTCCGGCAGATCATCAGCATACATATCCATGTAGGCGGTGACAGCTGCATCAGGCGCCGGCGATGGGTTGTTGATGAAGTCGAGTTCGCGCATTAGCTTCCTCGTGGCCCGTTCAGCCACTGGCACTGTTGATGGGCGCGCCGCGAGGCGCAGGCCAAGCTCGAGCGGGTAACGACCATGTTCTTCAGCTTCCTTCCCGTGCGTTTGCTGCAGTGGGGAGGTCGGCCGCGGGAGCAGTGGTTCTGGGACGCTTTTGAAGATGGCGCTGCAGAAGTCATGGATGTCGTCCACCCGGTGTGCGTTAGGGTCGTCATAGAGGTCGTGACCCACCATGGGGTCTCCGTCCCTACCGGAGTCGGTGAGTGTAGCAGATGCGTGCACCGTCGCCGTGCCGACTTCCATACGGGTGGCATGGTTGGAGGTGTCGTCTACCTCGCTGTCATCCGACGACCTGTCTGCCAGAGCCGGGACAGGTTCGTCCACCGAGGAGCAAGGCGCCTCCTTGCTACCTTCCGACGAGAAGCGGGGATGAGCTGCGCCGTCTGTCCAGGAGAGGGATTCCTGGATCATGGGATCCTCCTCTCGAAGGATGCCTCTTGTTTGGACCAGCGTCCTGCACAGATCAGCTAGAGGATCTGGACTCACCAGGAGAGAGTGCTGTTGGACGTGGCCGCCTGCGGGCCTTGAAGGTGAGCGGTTCCAGGAACGCCTGCGATCCATTGGCTCCATGTCAGCCACCCTGCTTGGCGAAAGGCCGGAGGTGAGTGCGGGCGCGCCGGACGACGCGATCAGGGGAGGGTTGCCTCAGATCCGCGTCTCAGGCCCTTCCCCGACGGATTGGGGAGCGTGAACGGTGACGCTCCCAGTCCTCCGAGGCATGGGGGATGTAGTCCCTCCCCCATGCACGCCTCATAGGCGAGCGACGTTGGTCGCGGCCGCGTTCAATGGCCTGGTCGCCATGGCCATCAGGCCGTAGGTCCATTGCAGGTTTGGCAGCGATGTCGGCAGAGCAATCGCGATGCAGTGGATAGGCGCTGAGCTTGGAGGAGATGGCACGCGGTCAGCTGGTAGGGCAGGAGTGGGAGAAGTGCCCGACACCCATGCACGTGAAGCAGCGCACGAGGTCCCGGCAGTCTGCAACCTGGTGGTTGAAGGCGAGGCACCTGAAACAGCGATCGGCGAGCCGCTTGAAGAAGTCCTCACGACCCGCACCCAAATGTGCGTGTCGAGGGTGAGGTGGTTCGGTTGGCGGAGGAGGCACTGTCTCAGTGGTGGTATGGGGTTGGCGATGGAGCGGGGGAAAGACGATGCGGCTATGGATGTTCTCTGGTGGAAAGTTCAGGCAGGAGCGGAGTTCAGTGGAGATGGTGCGAGGGCGGCGAGACGGGCAGGAGCGGGAGATGTGGCCGAAGCCCCTGCACTTGAGGCATCGCACTGGGTCTCGGCACTGAGCGACACAATGGTCGACGGCGAGGCACCGGAAGCAGTGTCCGGCGAGCTGTTTTAAGAAGGCCTCCCGGGACTTTCTGGCTCCCTCCATGTCCACCACGGCCACGCCCAGCTGCTGAGGCAGAGCAACAGACTTCCGCCACCCGTGTCTTCTCTTCGCTTTTTGCCAAACTAGTGAAAGCGTGTCAGGCTGCGCATCCTTAACCAGATCGAGCCGCTTCCACACTGGCCTGCGGTGACGACCTGGGGACGTAGGCGCTCGGTCAGGCTCGATCAGCAACGATTTCAGCTTGGCCGGTGCTGCAGATCCCGGCGGCGCAGGCTTGCCGGGGCTCGGAGCAGGGGGCGGATGGATGGAGGCAGACATCGGAGCTCCGTCACCAGATCCGGCAGCTGGTGGAGAGGACGCGGATCCTGAAGGCACGTCAGGGCTCGGCGTCGAGGCCTGCGGGGCCATCGTAGACTGCCGATCTGCAGCCTCCTCATCGATGGCGCAGGGGGAGGTGACATCATCCTCGGCTTCTTCTTCAGAGTCAGTCTTCGGCTTCTCCCCAGTCCACCAACTCCTCGTCTTCAGCTTCCTCTGGCAGATGGAGTGCGACGGGCTTTGGAGAGGTGTCCACGGCCGTCCTTGGAGGGGGCGCGACAGTCAGCCAGGGGGTGGACACCGGCGTCCGGGTGGCCGGCGGCTGGGTGTGTGGTGGGCGTCTCTCACTGGGCGTGCTCCCTCCATCTCCACTTCATCGGATTCCTCTGCCTCGTCTCTCGAATCAGGGAGCTCTTCTTCCTCCACGAGGCCGGTAATGGCGGCCAGATCTGCAGCAGCATCCAAGGGAACGGCCGGACTGTCCCGCGCAGCTTCCAGTGGGAGCAGGGCACGGCGGGGAGGGGAGGGGGCGGGCATGGACTGGATCCGTGCGTGGGTGTTGGCCGCCGGCGCCGGGGTGGCTGCCGGCGTGGGGGCCGTGGGGGCTCTCGCTCACCTCCGTGCTCGCTCATTTCGAATCCCATATCGCAAAGTTCGTGTACAAAGATAGGTTTACATTTAGGGCTTTGGATTTCCTTTAGTTTTATAGAGTTTCTGTAGTATGTGCTTCCCTTCTTGATCTTGTTCTGAATCCACATTTTTTCCTGTAGAGCGCACTTCCTCAGCTACAAGATTTACAGGGGCAGACTCAACAAAAACTACAGGTAATTACTGACTCCCTCTTTTCTGCTGAAGTAGTTCTTTCGTATGAAAACTTAAATTTCTGAAGAAAGCCTTTTGTAGGTCCCTGGTCAACAGCAAATGCAGTACAACCAAGCCTTGTCACAACAGTTTCATAACAGACAGATGCAACCTGGACGTATGCAACCAGGCATGGCTCAGAGTCAATTGAATCAAGGAACTCAGCTACGAAGTCATTTGGGCCAGTTTACTGGAGCTGCAAATAGTGCAATGTTCAGTGCTGCACAGGCATCATCAAACTCACAAATGGTCAGATATACCTTTTCTTAATAATTTAGTGAGGAAAATAAGTCACTTCATTTTCCTAAATTGATAGTTGGAATTTATAGATATGCATTTATGAGCTCATGAGATGGACTAGTGAAAAAAAGATTCTTAGTTTGTTCAGTCGCTAGCCTGATCTATAGATTATTTCGTACATGGTCCCATGATTGGCTAATCTTGCCTGGTTTGGTTTTGCATTTTAGATGGCAAATATACCTGGATCACAGTCACTTATGCCACAAATGCAGGTAAGTTACTTTTTATTGTCTTTCTATATCCAGGTTTCGTCAGAAATAATTCTCTGCATCTATTCGAATAGAATAATTTCTGCATATGGTATAATTGATCACAATTACTGGGCAATGACAGTCTGTATTCCCCTTTGCCCGCGTAGATCTTCAGGAAAGATGACTTTGTTACTGCATTGCACATGAGAGTTTGATGTAGGGTGGTCTGATTAATATAGGCCTATTATTTTTGTAGTCGCACGATTCATATTATCAATGGCAAAGCTGGCTTGTCCCAAACAAGTTCAGCACATGCATCTCTAATTGATGGACTAGGGTAGTTTCATTTGGGCTGTTGGCTTCTCTTGCAATTTTATGGTAGTCTGATTAATAAGGTTACAGTTTTAGGTTATCTTCCTTTTAAAAAAAAAGACAGTCTTATCTTATACTAACGATATCTTGTCCACTATGGGCATGATTTCCTGATTACTGAAGGGGCAGTATATAATATAAAGGTTTCAGTATTTGTTGCTTTTTTTTTTTGTTCTGTCCTGTTCCCGGACTGTTTCATTCTTCGCTCATAACTTCCTGTATTTAATATATTATTATTTTTGTGATTATTTCTCAGTATGGTATGGCTGGCGGGCATCCACAGAGGAGTCATCCCCAAATGCTGACTGACCAAAGTATGTATTCCTTTCTCTTTGTAAGATTTTCAAGTTATAACTGTCAAATGGATAAAGATAAAAATGAAAATGTTAGGAGTCATGGATTTGAGACATCATATTCGGCTATCAACTGTTTTGGTGGCATTACTGGCTTATTTGGTAGAAAACTGGTCCTCAATATTAGAAATATGTGTACGCATTGCGGAGGCAAGTCCTCTGAGTCGCATAAATCTAGAGGCAAGTCCTCTGAGTCGCATAAATCTAGATACTGATCCGATCACAATTCAAATCAAAAGGACAAAATATATTGGAATTTACCGTAATCCAAAGGTAGGATGTCATTACAAAAACACACGAATTCAGTAACTAGGAAAAGTTAGAGCACTTTCCTCTTAAGATTTTTAGTGATTTTTAGCACACTGGGTCCACTAATGTTTCATTTCTTCTGGTGCTAGTTACTACAACTAGCTTCCTTGGTTCTGTAGTGTGGGGACTTGGAATCAGTGCCGGATGAAAAGTGCCCTTTGATTTTGAATCGTCATTGGTCTATTTTACTTTGTGCCAAAAATGATCGTCTCAAGTTTGTACTACTGAACTCTGTACTGTTTTCTGCTGCAGTGTTCGGTATGGGAGCCACAAATAGCAGCATGATGGGAATGCAGCAACAGCAGCAAGGGGTATATGGGAACATGCAGGCAGGTGCACAGAACATGCAACAGGGTATGGTGGGCCTTCAGAATCAGACCCAGAATCCCAACTTCACTCAGCAGAGGCAACAAAATCAGCAATGATTCAACACTAACGTCAATTTGCTAGGACACGGAGGCAAATATATTAATGGGTTGAAAGATGAACAATATAGCCATGGTTTTTGCTGCTTGTCTGTTGGTTTTTACTCAGCTTATCTGTGAGACTGTGATAGTCGTCCCAGGTTGATAGCCATGGTTTTGCTGTAAATCAATGTAGATGCATCACCATTAGCGAGATGCAGGCCAATTCTATACATTGTAACTGTGTTTCGGATATGTCTTCTGTTCTGTTGGAATCGTGTTACACGCGTTCCTTTTATGAAACTAGTAACCTCTTTATTAAGCCTCGCAGCAAGGCTGGCTATCGAACTGCATAAGGGTAAGACGCGGACAGGCACAGGTGGGTTCACCAGCAGGTACGGCACGATCTTAGATTGCTGAGTTGCTCCAGCTACAAGAGCCTGCAGGGCAACGAAAGGTGATATGCAGTCATAATGCTCCTGTCAAACGGAGAAGGTAAACATGGACATCGGTCATCAGGTGAGATGCTGATCAACATTGCAGGCATTGGTACAGTATAACAATGAACAAACGACATTACACTGGTTTTATTATTCAGTGAGAAGCAAGTATACAACGAACACACATGATATTTTTCCTCTCCTCAGACGATGCTAATCTCTTCTTCGACAGGTATGTCCTCTTGGGGCTCCAGTCCTGATGGTGATGCACCTGTGACGATATCATCTTCTCGTTGGCCAGGCCCGGGCCTCTGGAACTTGTCGGCGAAGGCCTCCATCCCCATCCGTGACAGGAGGAGCCAGACCAAGGTGAGGAGCTCCAGGCTTTCACCCATGCTCTTGGCGTGCAAGTAGCCCCTGCACCTGCTGGCGGAGCAGCAGAGCATCTCCACCCACACGCCCTGGATCACCTTCCACCTCTCCTCTTCGTCGTCCAGCAGCCCCATCAGTTCCTCGGCAAGATCCCGTGCTTCTGGAACCAAAGTCCCAGGATATACCAAGGGAAACCGTGCTGTGGCAAGAATCTGCTCGGCCACGTGTACTTCATATGGCAATGTAGGCTCACTGAGATAGCTGAGCATGAGCTCGGTTTCATTGCAGGCGGCCGTGAAAAGACCCTGCCTGGTCCCAGGCATAAGCATCTCTGGTTGAACGAAGAGCAGGTAGATCATGAAGTTGGATATTGCCCTGCTGTAGCGAGCGAGATCAGCTTGACCTTGGGCGGATGTCCTGGGGTGGTAGGCACAGAGCTCAGTGGCTATGTGCCAGACGAGGACACTCCGGTCAAACGGCACCTTCAAACTCCACAACAGCTGCTGCCCGCTTAGCCTGTACCTGCTCACCGTCCACTGCCCCCTGAGATTGCAAAATCTCTGGTAACTAGGAGCACCAAATATATATAGTTTCCACCCTTGTTTCACATGCTCGACAACCAATTCTATGATATGAAGTTTTTCGTATCGAGGCCCCTGCTCTATGTACCAATGCTTGTTAATATAACTGCTGAGACCCATGAGAGCGGAAATTCTCATCAACAGGGTGGGTTTGCTTCGACGAGTGTAGAACGACATGAGATTATGCTCGGCTCCCGTCACCGGGGTGGCGCATAAAAAACTTCCTAGGATGCAAGGGCTGAGGAACAAGGGTAAGAACTCCAGGGAAGCTGTACAACACAACTGGACCATTGTTACTCTGGCGTCATTCTCATCATAACCAGCATCGTCTTTATGATGATGATGGCTAGTAGCAAAGAGCACAAGGGAAGCTAAGGCCAGGAACGGAAGCAAGCAAGTGCAAAAGGACACCAGGAATACTGCTTGCCCTTTTATTGTTGGTGTAGATCATACCAAATGCAAGCCAGAGGTGGAACATCAAATTATGATATATGTTAAAAATATTGAATCTGATGTAGGAGTGTAGGTTTCTTAGCCGACGATAATATGGAGTTGACAGGTCCACAAACAGCCTCTCGATGTCATTGGCGATTTTTTTTAACACTTTTTTTAACTATTTTTAATTCTAACACTGTTTTTTCTTCTTCAAATCTAACACTTTTGGCCGCGCCTATTGTCACGGCGTGGACAAACAATGCTGCCGCGCCATACATGACGGCACAGCAGCGGCGATAACATGGCACTTCCACGGGCCATGGTCGCTGACGTAGCAGGAGCTGCCGCGACGCACATCTTGACGCGGCCAACGGCGCGTCCCTTCGTCACATGTTGTGCGATGGCGTATAGTTGAGTTTTTCGTTTGCACGCGTACTTGAATGGATGCGCAACTGCAATGGTTATTTATTCGCCGAAAGCATGTATGGGCTCGCAGCTCCCTATAGCTAGTGGCTGTTTAGTTTCCAAAATTTTGTAAAATTTTTCAAGATTCTCCGTCACATCGAATCTTTGACGCATACATGAAGTATTAAATATAAATAAAAAATAAAACTAATTTCACAGTTTAAACGAAATTCACGAGACGAATCTTTTAAACCTAATTAGACTATGATTGGACACTAATTATCAAATAACAACAAAAATACTACAGTACTATTTTCCAAAAAAAATCACCAACTAAACAAGGCTCTAGCAGTCTCCTCCAAGTCCAATCTTCTGCTCAGGGCTGAGGTGAGCCGATTCATTTATGGTTTCATGAGGTTGGTTGGCCTGATCACTCACCGCTCCTTGGACGTCGGTGATGATGGCACGTCCGATCACTCCACTTCAGCCTGACAGGTGATGCAATTAGGGACCGGGTAAACCAACAGGCACGAATACGAGAAGGAAACAAAGATCGATCCTGTTGCTGTGCACTGCTGGTGCACGTGTGTAGCTCAGATTAGTTAAATAAAATCGATGCATTCGGGACCTTCTGTTCCTGTAAATTTCCTATACCCATCCACCATATTGTAATTTTTTTCTATATTTTCCAATCCTATGTTTTACAGTTGTATTCACGTGAAATCCCTTTGCCTCTCTGTGTTCCAAAGAGGACCTTCCTGTTGTAAAAGAAGAAGAAAAAAAGGGTGCAGTTGCGTATACTCCGTAGTACTACTGTACGTCGTACTAGTAGTATTGGGGTCTTGTTTCAAATTCCAACAGTACAAAATCCGAAAAACCAGCTCGGGTCAGTTTCGACGGCAAAACCCAGCGTGGGCTGTTTTGAACAGTACAAAAACCTGCTTGAACCGTTTTTTTGCAAGTGAGACTTCGGATCGTGATTTCTTCGTCCAGACTCCAAATTTGACATTTTATATATATATGCGGTTTTTAGTCGTCTCGACGAGAGAAATATAATGATAGAGTCCATTATGTGTTTTTAGAAATTACGAACCATCCTAGGGCGATTTTTGGTGGCAAGTTTGGGATCCCCTAGCAATTGTAGTTGTCAACACTTGTATAGGCGGCGACAACATCAACAATTGTCGGATTGGATCTCGACCGAGTCAGAAGCCACACATGGATGGAATGGGTGGAATAAGAAGCAAGGTGATGGAAAAGGGGGCATTTGGATCTCAAGGCTAGTTCAACGTGAGTCCATCTTGTGATAATATACTAATCATGGGCATTTAGCCTTTCTAATTAGCATTTAAAAATTGGGAGTAATTTTAAGCCCTATTCCCTCCATCCCCAATCCTGCATTTCAAATCTTGTATGAAAAAGAATGTCTAAAAAATACCAAAAAGATTGTAATCCTGCATTTCTAATTATGGACTTAAGATTAGCTTTTTCAATGAGACCCACCTATTAAAAACACCACTACATGTCTCAAAAAACTACTATACTCTATCCATCCAAGGAAGGAATATTCCAGAATGTAATGATTGTTTTTTTAGTTTCTGGCTATGGGGAGAATGATATATGAGAGATAAATACGTATTTTACACCTACATTAATCTCACCTCAAAAAATGAGATATATATTCTCTCTAAGACGGAGGTAGTATATATGTTGTATCAAAATACCCCAAGGAGCATCGGTTGGCCACGGAGGCATGGACGGAGCATGCAGCAGTTAAAAGCAGCGAAGAAAGCAGGCAATTTGTGGTTGATTTGTGACGGGGAACGGCGAGAAGGGCGCGGGCGCTGTCGGTGGTTTGGGACATATATTACAGAATCTGTGAGTAATTCAGCGAGATGAATTTATTAAATCTAATTAATTTGTTATTAACATATGTGTTAGTGTAGCACCACATTGTCAAATTATAAACTAATTAGGTTTAAAAGATTCATCTCGTAAATTAGTCGTAAATTATATAATTAGATATTTTTTTAAGTCTATCTTTAATACTTTATGTATGTGTGCAAACATTCGATGAATAGGAAGTAAATTTTAAGGCGAGAACTAAACCAGGTCTTAGCCTTTACAACGATGATCTAGCCAGTAGTACGTGTGCTGGCACATTAGAGTCCAACACAGTAACGTGACACGCGTGGCCCACCATCTGAGCGCGCGCGCGTACATAGCATACCCTAGCTAGCTAACGTGTTAGTAGTAGTACGTGTGTCCGCTTAGCGTGTCCTGTATGTACTATGTAGTCTGGGGCTGGGGGAGTCATTTGCTATTTGTTTTTCTGATAAATTATAATTAAAAATATTATTGACTGATTTATTATAAATAAAAAATACAGTTTGTTGATCGAAAAATATGACTCGTAAGAAAGAAAAAAGGGCGATTGTTGTATCGTCGTCGAGGGAGCGTATATTTGTGCAGACGTTTCTTTAGCTACTATAGGCAGGCTAAGGCTATGTTTGGTTTCTACAGTTGTTTCTAAAATTTTTGTCACATCGAATGTTTGATATATGTATGGAGTATTAAATATAGATTAATTACAACACTAATTGCACAACTTGTGACTAATTTGCGAGACGAATCTTTTAAGCCTAATTAGTTTATGATTTGATAACGTGTTGCTACAGTAACCATGTGCTAATGACAAATTAATTAGGCTTAAAAATCGTCTCCCAAATTAACCTCCATCTATATAATTGTTTTTATAATTAATCTATATTTAATGCTTCTTATTAGTATATAAACATTTGACGTGATATGAATTTTAGCACCTAAGCTCTCGTCATCTCATGTGCTCAACAACAGTCGTGCCTGTACTGTACGAAAGGCAGGGGCGCAGGCCGACCAGCTAGCCGACGGAAGTGACCGGAGAAAAAGTAGTACTAGGTGAAGTAAGTGATGATCGGACGTGCCATCATCACCGACGTCCAAGAAGCAGCGAGTGATCAGGCCAACCAACCTCATGAAACCATAAATGAATCGTCTCACCTCACCTCACCTCAACCTGTTTGTTAGATCGTATTTAGTTTATAAACCAAAATTTATTAACCAATAAACATTATTTTTCTCTTATGGCCTTTAGGGCGCCGCTCCTCCCATCGGCGGCCGGCGGTTGCTTGTGACGGTTGAAGAGGGTGGCGAGTGCATATATCGCCAGGGCATCAGCGCCAAGGTAGGCGAGCCATCAGCCTGTTCGTTTCGTCGTAAACAATCGTGAATTATTTACTGCTGACTGGTTTGGTGTGAAATAAAAATACTATTTTAACTTATAATTCACGATAGTATATCCTCAACATGGGGGGTGCGAGCGTTGCGCATCATTGAGCCGATGAAGAGGACGAACTGCAAGAAGAGGCTGCCAGGACAAGGATGCGCAGCTGCCACTCTTCCCACCATTGTACAGCACCCGAGAGATCCACGGCCATCTCCTGTCTCTTTCACTCGATCGAGGAGGGAAATGCTATTACCTATAGCAGCCTCTCGATTTGAGCAGGCAATGCAGCAGGGCTCTCACACTCAGACTGGTGACAGACTAAATGTAGATGTCATCATATGCTAGCTAGTAGAACAAATATATAGGTACTCCAAAGCGTTAAGGAACCAGGGGACGTGACCAACAACAGGTAACAGGAGATGTGATTATGAAGCCATCTAATCGGTACTTGTTTAGGCACAAAGTAAAAAAAAAAAAACAAAGTCTAAAGACAAAAAGGAAAAAAAATGTAGTCCTAGTATGATTCTTGTCTGCCGGACTCAAGTATGCCCGCCTTGGAGGTTGTTTAGTTGCACTTCATTTTGCAAAAATTTTCAAGATTCTCCGTTACATTGAATCTTTGAACGTATGCATGAAGCATTAAATATAAATAAAAAATAAAACTAATTACACAGTTTAGACGAAATTTACGAGACGAATCTTTTAAGTCTAATTAGACTATGATTGGATACTAATTGCCAAATAACACCGAAAGTGCTATAGTACTATTTCGCCAAAAAATTTACCAACTAAACACAACCTTTCAAGGCATGCATGCCCTCGGCTGTAAACCAAGAATAAAGCAGGTCTCCCTGATTATTGTTAATTGCTCGCATCATCTCATTCTCATGTTCCTGCTATTATGCCTTCTCCATCGTGTTGATTATTGAAGCCGCATTACTCATAATTTTCCCGTACTTTAAATAAGAGTTAGTGTTCCTTGCTTATCCCTGGCGATATTCCTTGCGTGTTATATGAAATCAGGCATTCTGTTAGCAATGAACAAATATAAATGGAGGAGTATAAATATGCGCACAGCTTGGGGCGCATCAGTTGGGTGGGTGGGGGGGGAACCAGTGACCTCAGAGCAACTCTAACCAAGCCCTCAAATTTTACCCCCTATTCCTTCAAACGAGAACCTCTCATTCGTATTTCATCCCTTACTTCTCAGCGCACTCCAACCAATGTCCTAATTTTTTTCCGACTTTACACTGTATTGTCATGGACATATTCATCGGTGTCACTTGTCAGCTTTATGAAAAGAAAGAAAGGAGAAATAGAGGAAGGACGAGGGGCTCCTGGGGGTTCAAGAGAGAGAAATGAGAGTCCCTCTTCCATCGGGGGATGGATAGGGGCTCGGTTAGAGAGCTTTTCATGTGTTTGAGCTCTCAAAATCAGATGAGGTCTCAAGTAGGGGCTTGGTTGGAGTTGCTCTCATCATCTCATCTCATGTGTAGGGTCTCCAAATGTAGAAATAAGAGTTGGGTACACTTATTTTATTTTATTGGGCTCGCCAGGATTCCAAATAATTGAAACCCTAATACAATATTTAGTTGAACGCTTCAACCCAAAAGCTTAATATGTTGCAGAAATATGGACACTTCACTTATACTTCAACACATATATTTGACTTGCTTTTTTCTGAGATAAAGTAAGTATTTGTTAAAAACAAGATAATTACATCAAGTTTGACAAGTTTTGTGATAACCACACAATCGACAAGTTTTACAGATGCGCTAATGATATTCAATTCAATTCAAAAATTATACTATTGCATGTAGGTGTTTGTTGCCAGCCAGGGTAGGGTGTGCGTGCGTACGTTCATAGGGGTGAGTGTGCGCTCGTGTATGTGAGAATCTGCGCCTGTGGGTCTCGCAAAAGAAAAATAATGAATATAGGGTTAGGTGCTAGATCTACAGATCGATGGTAACATAAGACAAGAACGAACTTTCAGACTCTCGGGAGGAGATAATACCATACATCATGAATTTATAGATTTGTATTGCTTATGTCCGTATGTAGGAACAGAGCTAGAGCAAATTTAAGAGAGTTATGCTTACCTTGTGGGTGCATAGAGTTTTAATCTGAGGGTACGTATATGGTGAAAATTTAATTATAATTATTTTTTTCATTTTGCTGTTGGTGTGCCCGCATCCACAATCGTAGATATTATTTTTTATTATTAAAAAATATATAGATATAGATATAGATAGATGTAGATAGATATAGTCATAGATAGAGATTTTAATCATACAACAAAAAAGGCTAACAAATGGAAACTTGTGAAAAGAAATATAACCGAAAACTTCTTCCCTGTAAATAACTGCATGCTATACCAGTACTCTTCACCACTCCTGCTAGTAGCTTGATGAGGAGCGAACCATACGGTCCGTACCTAAGAATCCTATCACACCACCTTGTGTCCTTGAAAAAAAAAATTAGGTACGCAATACTATATATTGTAGCTTGTATATATAGCGTCTATGAAGTTCTTGGATTATTGCATTGGTTAGCGCGCACAATGCAAGGTACAAGGTACACGCATGAACGAGATGAGAGGAACACCGGTATACACGTACTGACACGGTTGTACATGCAAGTGCAGTGTACAGTAGTAGAGATTAGAGAAGGGACGGGGACGACGATGGCGTGATCAGCTAGCGGTGCGGTATCGGCGCGGTTCCTCCGCGGCGGCGCGTGTCCGGCGGCAGATCCACGAACCCGTAGTCTTGTCCCGCCGCCGCCGCCGCAGCGCCGAGCAGGTCCCGCGCGGCTGCCGCGTCGCCGCCGCCGGCGGCGGCAAAGGCGCCCTTCTCCTGCAGGGCGGGCGCGCTCACCAGGGAATCCACGCCAAGCACCGGCGAGGACGGCGGCCGCGGTTGTGGTCGTCCATGCGCCGCGAGTCCGCCGCCGCCACAGCTGGCCGTGAACACGCCGACCGCCAGAACCAAGCGCCAGGCAGGCGCCCGACGTTGCTGCCGCCGCGAGCAGCAGCCGCGACGACGACGACCGCATGGGTGACGATGGTTAGCTATGTAACTACACGGGCGGCTCGATCGTCATATAGGCTGCAGCATCCGGCCGGCAGGAGCTCCTCCCACAGGAGCAAGCGATCAATGCTGGCAGTGGCAGCTGGCTGGCTGTACTTATATGTATAATATAATATATATGCTATCTATCTATCTATACACAGGCATGTATCTTGTCAGTGGTACGGCCGATGGAGAGAGGGAGAGACTGAGAGAGAGATGAGTCGGGCGGCGACTGGGTTCGGTTGGCGACACGGAAATGGGTGGCACATCTAATCAAACCGCGCTGCCACTGATCGTTTGAACTTATTTGATTTGTAAGCCATGATTTAATAGCTAACGAATAGTATTCAGCCATGGCTCAAAGCGAACAGGCGCGCGCCGGACGGACGATGCGTGACGCGCACTCTTCGATCGCGCTCTCTATGGTTATCATAGTCCCCAAGGCCCAGACGTCACCGTACGTGTCCACTCTAGCTGACTTGGCCAGCCAATCAGGGATGCGTACGACCCACGTATGGCTAGCTGCCATTTTTTTAATTTTCCATGGGTGATTAATATTAATTAATATATAATACCACTAGTGGAAAAAAGGGCCTACAGTCGTTTTGCGAGACAAGTCAATAATAATGATAGTTACAGAGTACCGTTGACGATCTTTCGCTTCTTTGATTACTGGCCTTCGTGCGAAAGAAAAAACCACAAAGAGCACAAGCAGGAGGGCCTGTATGAGCAGTTTCATAGTGTTTTTTTTTGTTTGGGTCAGAGCCGGCAAAGCAGGAGGCCCTTGCATTCTTTTTGTCATACTAAATACTCTTTTCTCATCGTTTCAAATTACAAGATGTTTTAGCTTTGCTAGATACAATGTTTTTACTATGTAACAAAAAGAGATAGAGATAGAGATGTATTGAAAAAAAAGAAATATACATTGGTAAGTGAGAATACCAATTAATTTCGGACAAGTGTAAAAAGCTAGAAAGTCAAGTATTATAGGACAAGATGGAGTGTTGTAAGAGCTGAGATGGCCTAAGTTTTCACAAATAGTTAGTCAAAGCTTATACATGTTAGTGCATAAATAGTTTTCTACAGATTAATTATTTGTATCTAATATATATTGGTCTTGCAACAATATATAATATATTGTTGGATAAATTAATTGTAAAGCATTCATTTTCAGTACGTCCAGAAAAAACGAGAGAAAATTTATTCCACAATTGCAGATTGGTGAAAACTGCGTAAAGGTGCTAAGATTGAGTAAGCCTTTTGCTTGTGTGAGAACGAAGGTTTGTTGATGTTGTACCAACTGAGAACTCACCGAAAGATCTCTTTTTTAAAAAAAAAAGAAACTCACCAGAAAATCCAACTAAAAGTGACACTTTCTAGAATGGGACAAAAATATAGACATCCTGAGGTACTAAGATGTAAAACGACCGAAGGAGTGGACCGCCCTAGTCAGTCAGTCGTTGACGTCGTCGCCCCGGCCTCGTGGATACGTTCCCGGGGAGTCGGAGCCTCCGAGGCGCTGCGCTCGTCACGCCGCCGGCTCCGACGAGGTACGCTCACCTACCAATCCCGCCTCTCTCTCCCCCCATCTCTCTAGCCTCTCCCCGCTCCATTCATGCCTCGCGGTCCCTGCTCCTGGCCTGCTTCCTAGATTGGCAGGTCCGCTAGCTGATCCCATCCGCCCCTCGTCAGCTACGCGGGCTGCAGTTTCGATTTCGTTTCTCTCTCTCTGGTATGGGATTGCTGTGGTTGTTGGATTATTTTTGCGAGTATATGGTTAGCTTAGGCGAGATTGGTTCTAGATTTGGTAATGGGAGCCCGCGGTGCAATTTATTCCCCGATTCGGTGATTCAGGTTTCTCTTTTGTCATTTCCCCTCCCTTGTGACTTGTGAGGGGACGCCATGTTTGACTAGTACTTTGTTCTAAGGTGCCACCATGCTTTATTTTGATGTTCCGAATGTTTAGGATATCCGAAATTTAATTTGGTCCACTTCGTTATCCTGTTTTTGTGAAGCACTCTTCTCTTTAGGAGACAAATCTGAACTTTGCGTGGCAATCTTCTTTTCCGTTGGACTGTGCAAAGAATGCCGGCGACTTTGCACACCTGAATGGAAAATCTTAGTTACTCTATCCGTTCCAAATTCTAATTCGTTCTGAATTTTAACAGATACATAGTAAAAGCTATGTATAACGAATATCTATTGCTATTGTATCTAAAAAGCCAGAACGACTTATAATTTGTAACGTTGGAGTAAGCACTAAGCAGTAAGCTAAGTATGTGTCTGTTACAAACTTACAATTTCGATGCGCATGGGCATGGTTGTTTCCCTCGTGTGCCAAATTCAGTTATTTTCCCCAAACCGAGTAGTTATATATGAGTGAATACAGAGGGTTAATTGATGGTGTTGTACAGGTTTTTTTTACTGTTGATATGTATAGTATCCAGATTGCTAGGTTAATGTGCAATCAGGATCCCTGTTGCTATGAATATCAGATGCTATTGATCAGTAAAAGATCGTCATTCATTCTGTTTAGACTATGGTGCTAGTTATTTACCATTGAACAGGAAAACTGTGGTCTTAGACTCTTAGTTATTTTAGCAAAGCTTAGTCCATATCCCCCATCCACACATCTGACTTGATATAGTGCCCTGGTGCATGACAATGATAATAGGATCAATTAATCTGTTTTCTTCATTTCTGCTTGCTTATTTCAGATGGAGGATGGCATATCTACTTATACTGTGGATGAGGCACTTGTGTCCATGGGGTTTGGGAAATTCCACGCATTCGTGCTTGCATACTCTGGAATGGCTAAAATCTCTGAAGCAATGGAGATGATGCTTTTGTCATTTGTTGGGCAATCAGTTCAAGCTGAGTGGGAGCTTTCTGCACAGGAAGAAAGTCTCATAACAAGTGTTGTCTTCGTGGGGATGCTTGTAGGAGCATATGCTTGGGGCATAGTTTCAGATAACTATGGAAGAAGGCAGGTTCTTCCTCACTTGTTCCACTGGCTATTGGAACTTGATTATGAGTGTTCTAACCTTTAACAAAATGCAATCTTTTTTGAAACATTATGGAGTGTTGCACACTGTTCCATGTCTGTAGGAACCTTAAACTAGGCACTTTACTGTTCCATGGTTAGGTTTTTGGGTTCAGCTCTAATGCTTGAATGTCCTGTTTGTTTCCCATCTCTGCATGTTATCTAGTGATAGTTTCCCATTTTCCAACATGTAACTATTTTTTGCTCATTCTAGACCCTTCATACTTCTCTACAGGGTTGGGTTCAACTTCACAGCCATTGTTACTGGAGGAGCTGGTCTTCTTAGCGCTTTCGCACCAAATTACTTATCTTTGATTGTACTGAGATTTATGGTTGGTGTTGGACTGGGTGGTGGGCCGGTTCTAGGTTCTTGGTTCCTAGAGTTCATCCCTGCTCCTAACCGAGGAACTTGGATGGTCATGTTCTCAGCATTTTGGACTGTTGGCACAATAATGGAAGCTTCTCTTGCTTGGGTAAGTCCATTTCTTTAGGAAAAAAAATAATGTCAATGTTTGCCTTACATACAGTACTAGCTGTTTGAGAGATATTTTTAGTTATCAACGTAAACTAAAATCAGATTGTTATCAAATGCTGGGGTTATGTGCATGATGCTACAGTACATCCTACAATGGATGTTACATTCTAGTTACCAATAGTGGATGTTATGGTGGATCTTTGACTGCTCAGTGCAGATGTGATAGATATGAAAATACTTCTAGGTGTAGATTAGTGGGTAATACTCAGCTTAGATAGGCTTGGTGATGTACCTCGCCCTAGGGCGATTCTTGACCATAGTGGCGCCATGGTGTCATCAATATCCCCTCTCTCTGTAACATTGATCCTAAATATCGAAAGGTATCCTTCCTAGGCACCACTTGACCTTTCAAACTAATATCCTCCTCCGTGTAGTAGTATTTCGGTTTTAGCAATGAGTCTTGGTTGCTCCAAAGTGCGATTCACTCCTCGTCTAAGACTTTCATCAACTAGCACTACATCGTCGTCATGACCGACCAAGGATGTCCCTTTGTATGCGAGTGTCCATCACATGGTCCGGTGGTGGCACTTCCCGTCGCTTGAGCACTCCCTTGATCGGTAGGGTTAGAGCGATAAGTGGGGATCATGGTGAACCTCTTGTGCCTTCTCTAAGTCAATAAAACCATGTGTAGGTCCCCCCACCTCCCTCTAAATAGTCTGTACCCTTGTTTTGATGGGGGCCGCCAACCTTGGTTTGGTTGGATGCCCCGATCATCCACCCCTGAACGGTGTTAAATTTGGATCAAATGCCCCCGACTCGACCGTTGGGCCGAGACGGATGAGATCAACACTAACACTCTCCTCCTTGATCTCACCTCATACTTAAACTTAACTTTCTTTATCTTTTTATTCCCACTCCATCACAGATCAGTGCATAGAGCGTGCTTCATCGTCATGGCCAGTTGCCATTAGATTTAACAGCTACAATGTACCTCTTTGTTTTGAAACAGATACTCAACTAGGCCCTTAATATCCAGAAATCATATGCTTTCCAGTAAACCCATGTCGATTGTGTGTTTTACTGTGGAGCGCGGGCTTACTATAGCGCCATGGGTGGTAAGCCTTTGGTAAGCGGATCCGCAAAAACTTTCTCGGACTACTTATGTGCTCAATGCTTTCAAAATGATTATGGATTTTCTCCTTTAAAACATATAACTTAGTGTCAATGTGTTTTATTAAGAAAAGACGCTTGACATGTTGTCTTAGGAGTTAACTTACTTTAAATGGTTATTGAATATCTCTTTTTTTGTTGTACTACCATTGTTAAATTCTTGGGTATAAAGTTCCTTAACCTCTTTTGCCTGTCATTCCTTAAGCCTCATGTCAAGCTATACTATGGTATGCATCATCGATGACACCATAACTGCAAATTCTTTGGAGCTTTTCCACAATAATACTCCAATGAAAGTCATTATCTTCATCTCCATTAATGAAGTGAAGTGTTAGCAACTCATCGTGGATTTCACTACACATCTCGCCATGACTTGACATTTGTACCCTCAACTATTTGATAGTACTTATTCTTTCTTACTCAGCATGAGGCCTATGATACTTTATAAAATTGCAAGACATTCTCAACTCAATTCCAGTGATTTATATCTGAACTGGGTTTCTGCCAAAATATCCCGGATACATAAACTACGTCAGAGTAAGTTCTTACTTGTACTTGTACACACATCAAGCTTCCAACAGCTGAAGCATATGGAACCATATTCATTTGATCGATCTCATCGGTTCCTGGAACACTTAAAATTCCCAAATCTATTATCCTTGACTATAGGAGCAGGCGTAGGTTTACTCGCATGCATACTTTACATCTTTAGAATCTTTTCTAAGTATGCCTTTGCGATAGTCCTAATACCCTATTTTCTTCTATCTCGGTGAATTTCGAATCCTAGAACCAATGACGCTTCACCAAGATCATTCACATTGAAACTTGAGGACAAAACTTCTTCTTTTCCAATGACAGATTAACATCACTACTAATGAGTAGAATGTCATCTATTCACAGGATGTGGAAAATGAATTTTCCATTCTTGATCCTCGCATAAATGCTATTGTCCTTCTCATTTTCATTAAAACCCAAACTTTTTTATCGTTTCATCAACTTCAAATATTACTGTCTAGAGACTTACTTTTAACCCATAAATGGATTTTTACAGGCGGCATCCCATATGTTCTTTTTCTTCCATGACAAAACCTTTGTGTTATGTCATGTAAACGTTTTTATACAAATCCCCGTTGAGGAATGCCATCTTTACATCCATCTGATGTAACTCTAAATCGTAATGTGCCAATAACACCATTATGATTCTAAAAGAATCCTTGCATGAGACTGGAGAGAAAACTCTCATCGTAATCTATTCATTCTCTTTGCGTAAAGTCTTTTGCTACAAGTCATGCTTTATATCTTTCCACATTCCCTTTGGAGTCACATTTTGTCTTGTAGACTCTTTCACAGCCTACTGTTTTGGTTCCGTTAGGAATTTCTTCTAAGTCCCAACCTTCGTTGGTATTCATCGAATTCATTTCAACTTCATATCTTCTTGCCTTCTAAACGAGTAAACACTTCTCATGGCTTCTTCAAATGAGGTGGGATCACTCTTCTTTTGAATTTCTTTACTAACATAAACTTCATAGTCATCAGAAAAACTGGTTTATTAATTCTTTGAGGCCTTCTGGGGCCTCAGGTACTGGCACTTTCATATGGGGCTGTTGTTGCTCTTCATTACCAAGAGGCAATTGATTCCACAGGCTCCTGTATCACAAGATCCTTGTTTACATTATTCATCTTCTTCGAAGAGTCAACAACAGGTGTTGTATAAGTCATACAACATCAACAGGTATTGAGAAATTCGTTGTTTTGAATCACTGAAGTGGGCACGCAGTCCTGTTTCTCTTCAAGTCTTAGGTCTCTACATACCTCTACATACCATGCTTCCTCAGATCTTCCCATCTTTTCTAAAGATAGTGTATCTTCAAATATCTTATTTTGGGTTTAATCTGTTAAAACATCATATGGCGCTTTAAGCACCACCTTAACATCTTTGAGGCTGACTACGCTATCTTTCTGTCGGAACTTTAAAAGGTCAAGGAATTTAGCTATTTCTCTGATTAGGGGTATCATTGTTGTGACGTTGTACTCCTCCAACGGTTTCATCTTAATTAATCTTTATCTCACTCTTAATGAAGAGTATTTTTTTAATTGATCTTAATATTCTGAACCTCGAAATATGGCATGAACTTTACTGCCATAATTTCGATAACTATTCAGAAAGCCTGTAAACGATGAGACACTTATAACTTACTTCATTCACATGATTGTGTTATGTAAACAAAGTTATTTCTTGATCGTTTAGGAGTACACTTTCCTTAATTCACTTTAAAAACTCAACGAGGTCTTTCATTAGCAGTACTTTTGCAAGTCACGCTTGCATCTTTTTCTTATCCTTTGGTTAGTATTGACCATGACGATACATTTCTATTGTGCCAAGGTCAATACTAGAACAGCATAAGAGCTACCCAAAACTTCTCTCGCTATTCGAGATACAAAACATGTGAATCATCACAAAACTTCTCCCGCCATGCAGGATTGACTAGCATAAGTACTATGCCAAAACTTCTCCCCATACGGGATACATCGATACGAAAACTTAGTCATGACGACTAAAACATTCCCTTATACTTCATTTTTCAATTAAATTTTCCCGTTGGTTCCAATTTAATCAGAAAATTAGTAAACTAACAAAAAATTGTCCTGAACTGGCTTGACTCAAGCCTTTCCATTCACATACCCCAGCATTACAGCCCGTTGGCATGCAGCCGAGTGATCTCGTCAGTTAAAATAAAACATACAATATGCTTATGCATCAATTCTACATCACCGTTGGGCAGAAAATAGAATTAATGCATAAAACTCAGAAATTAACTTGAAATCCATATAACTACTCTTCAAAATTAAATTCTCCCGTTGGTTCGAATTTAATTGGAAGATAATCAACTTCATTGCAGCGGAAACATGTTAATAAAATACATTCTATTAGTTCAAGAGCATTTCTTTGTCCTTATCTACTCTTTGAAAAATTGACCATGTTGGTGTGAAATTTATCAGAGATTTAAACCTCAAACTTGAACTCATTATAATATTGCTGTCATCAACGTTGGTCAGAAAATGACAATACCATAATCTGACTTAAACAAAACGGACTACTCCTCTAATTTAAATTTTTCCGTTGGTTCCAATTTAATTAGAGGATAAATATAATCATAATTTACTAAATATAACTGCTCTTCAAATTAAATTATCCTGTTGGTTCGAATTTAATTAGAAGATAATAAACATTAAACTTTGCAGCGGAAATATGAAAAATTGTTTATCTACTTTTCAGAAGCATCTCATTGTACTCATCTACTCTCTGAACAATTTATCTCGTTGGTTCAAAATTGAATAGAGATGAAAAACTAATCAAAATTCATCAAAATTCGCTTATGAAAATAAATAAATAAATTTATAACCTTTACTGTGCATTCGGCCCGACCCATTAGGCACTCGCGCGCGGCCCATAACGCAGCGGGCAAGGCGCTGCCCAAGCAGCAAGCCGCTCATGCCCATGCATCGCATGCTTGAGCTCCCCAGCGCCAGTGTGTGTGACCGCCCACCACGCGAAGCGCGTCTGCTAGCCCACTTGCGTGCGACGATCCAGGCCGTCGATCAGCATCGGATGGCTGCCCTTCATTTTCGGCTGAACAAAACCAGAGAGAGCCGATTCCAAAACCCTAGTTCATTTCATTTTCCCCACCCCTTTCTTTTTTCTTCAACACAGAAGCGGTAGCGGCAATGAATGTGGTATCATGTTGACCGTTTGCCCGGTGAGGAGATGGCGCCACGAGCTTGTCCCGATCGGCTCTCCTTCCTCGTTTTCTTTTCTTCCTCTCCCTTTCTTCTCTCAAAGATCATAGACGAAGCGACGGAGGAGGAGCGGTGGTGGTGCCGTGACCGCCGGGGAAAAGTGATGGCGCCGCTGGGCCTCGGTCTGGCGCATGAGCTCACCCGCCGTCGAGCGGCCTTATGGTGATGCCCTTGACCCTGAAGCCCGAGGCGTAGGCCGCGCGGTGGCGTGACCTCTCGACCGGCGGCTTGGGTGGTTCTTCCCGCGCGACATCAGAGCAACGCCGGCGGTGGTGACAACGGCAGGTGAGCCCCAGGTTGGCCCCTGTCCCGTCCGTCCGGTTTCTTGGAGTTAGGGTTTAGGGTTAGGGTTAAACCCGATTTGCATTCTTTCGATTTGTCCATCTTCTTTCTAAAATCGTTCTTCTTTTCTACCCAACACTCGATCTACACACTAGATGGCCTGGCTCTGGTACCATTGATAGATATGAAAATACTTCTAGGCGTAGATCAGTGGGTAATACTCAGCTTAGATAGGCTTGGTGATGTACCTTGCCCTAGGGCAGTTGCGGCCATGGTGCCGCAGCGACGTAGCTGCCGGTGTCGTAGCAGTGCAGGCTGCGGTGCAGTGACGACGACCAACGGCGATGCGAGGTGCCGCGGTCCGGTGGTGGCACTTCCCACCGCTTGAGCACTCCCTTGATCGGTAGGGTTAGAGCAGTAAGTGGGGATCATGGTGAACCTCGTGTCTGCGCCCTGGCCCCCACCTCCCTCTAAATAGTGCTGCGCGACGGGGGCCCACCAACCTTGGTTTGGTTGGATGCCCCCGATCAGGGCACTGGATCAAGGCCTGACTCGACCGTTGGGCCGAGTCGGATGAGATCAACACTAACAAGATGTTCTCCTTTTTCTCTAGCATGCAGGAGAACTGCATGTCCTTAGGAACAGAACTGGTCCAAATGCGGGATTATAGTGTAGGTCTGGAGGTGGATGGGGAAGACTGGAGAGGACCCCTGATTCAAATAAACAGATGCACTGCAAACAATGAATGGCAGTCTTGCCGAGCTACCAGCTAAGGCTTGCAAGTGTGCTAGTCCATGTGTGTCAGCTACATGTCACAGCTCTCCATGCAGATGTTCTTCTGTTGTCGTTATTACCGTACTTGTAAGTCTAAGATTAGGATATACCATTGAATCCTAAGGAACAGCGAAGCTTCTTCTGTGTTTTTATAATTTGAGCAAGTTTAGCCAGCACATGCATGGGTCTTCCTGTGCAATCAATTGGGTCTATTTGCTGTGGTATTTTGCTCGTACATAGTTTTGATGGTGTGATTATTGACGACCATGGTAGTATATATATTGTATATAATATATAATGGATGAATGACACCATGTTGGTGTAAGTGGTCAAATGGCATGCATGGTAATTCTAATCCGTGACTATTGCTATTTCCAAAATCTCCATGCAATTTTCTTTACTTATCTGCTCAATTTGCAGGCCGTTATGCCAGCTTTTGGCTGGAGGTGGCTGCTGGCACTCTCATCATTGCCATCGTTTGCTCTACTACTCTTCTACCCAGTGACACTTGAGTCACCAAGATACCTATGCATGAAGGGTAAAATAGCTGAAGCAGTTCATGTTTTGGAAACAATGGCACGAGTGAATTGTGTTTCTCTCCCCTCTGGTCGACTTGTCTCTGGCATTCGGACAGAACTTCATGATATCGGGGATTCCTCAGAAACAGCACAATTGATGACATCTAAGAAAAATAATACCACTGATCATGCTAGCAAATCTGAGATTGGAGGCCTCAACGCCATATTAAAGCTTCTATCTCCGAACTTAATCAGATCGACTCTTCTACTTTGGACCGTCTTTCTTGGTCATGCCTTTTTGTACTATGGTCTTGTTCTGCTAACATCAGAATTGAATCATGGAAATAGGATCTGTGGATCAGAAGAGGGAGCAGAAGTGACAACAACAGCCCACATACATGATGAAAATCTCTACAGAAATGTATTCATAACCAGCTTTGGAGGTACGTGTGTTCTTGCCCTCTGGTCAACCAAACATTTTCACAAACCATGTCTTGGGAATTCTTGATATTTGGGGCAACAATGATGCAGAGGTTCCTGGCCTTCTCCTGTCGGCTGCCATTGTCGACAAGATCGGGCGCAAGCTCTCAATGTCTTCCATGCTTTACATCAGTTGCCTGTGCATATCTCCGCTTATGTTTGCCCAGACAGAATCTCTGACAACCGTGTTTTTATTCGGTGCCCGGGTTTGCATCTCAGCAAGCTTCACTGTTCTTCATATCTACGCCCCTGAGGTTTGGTCCCTGCAATAGCCTGTGCTTCTTTACAACATAAACCTTGTATGAAACCTCTGAACATCGTTGCCTCTTTATGCCGTGTTCCTTGCAGATATACCCAACTGCTGTTAGGGCCACGGGTGTCGGGTTTGCAAGCTCAATTGCTCGGTTTGGTGGAATCCTGTGCCCTCTTGTGGCCGTCGGTCTGGTGCACGCATGCCACCAGATGGCAGCTATCTTGATATTCATCACGGTGATGCTGGCTTCAGCCATCGCCGTGTCATACTTCCCCCTGGAAACAAGCGGCCGAAAGCTGAGTGACCACGTCGCCGCCGCATGAGAGCTAATTAAAGAGTTTTTTTTTCTGACTTCGGAGGGATACAATACACCATACAGAATCAAGTCCAAGGGGCCGTTCGTTGTTTTGTCCAGTTGTTGGTAGAGGATACAGTGGGAAAGAAAGTGCAAAGCAGGCACGAGATTGTTACATTACTATACTATATTGCTTTTCTATAGAGATGTACAATTACATGTTTTTTGTTCTCTCAAAATGGCATTATTATTAGTCTGAATTCATCTAAACGTCTCAAATTTCAAAATAGTTTCAAATGTAACATGATCCCTTGTCCGGTTCATCTGGGAAATAAAATGAAGCTGGAAAAATAAAAAATAATTCTGTTGCCGGACTCGAACCCGGGGGTCTCTCAGGTGAGAGCTGAATCCTAACCAGCTAGACTACAACGGATCTTGTTGATGATTGACATCATAATGTATAACTAATAATTACATTAGAGCCATTCAAAGCAGTGGCTTGGCGACACTCTCGCTGCTCCAATGGCGACGGTTTCGTTCCATCTCTGTTCCCCGTCTCTTCCTCCGTCTCCTAATTTTGGAAAGGCCGTACTTTCCCACCGCGAGACCTGTATCCCCCATGAATCCATGAGAGAAAGGCGGAGGAGATCGGCGACGTACGCGCGTGGGGGTCTCCGCCTGCACGCTCTCAGCTGAACCGCGCCGTGCTCCCCTGGGCGCGCAATGGCTCGACGACGGCGCCCCCTGGCCCTGCCGCCGCCGCAGCAGCTCGTCTGGTTGGCCGTCCTCTTCTCTGCGGCGGCGCCCGCGGTCGCCAAGACCGACAAGTCTGACGGTGAGGGTTTGCCGGATTCTTTGTGCCCTCTCTCTGTATGCATCGGTCATGGTTCTGACTGAACATCGTGTGTCCTGTCCTGCAATATCAGTTGCTGCGCTCAATGTGATGTTCGATAGTATGAACAAGCCATCGCAATTGTCCGGTTGGAAATCGAGCGGTGGTGATCCCTGCGACGACGATGACGAGTGGAAGGGGATAGAATGCAGCGGCTCATCTGTCACAGAAATGTACGCAAATGAAATGCCTTCAGGATTTCACTGCTTGTTCAGCATTTAACAGCGCTATGAAAGTACCTTTTTTTTTCTTTTAGTTTTCTATGACATTTTTAACAGTGCTATAAATAATCATGTTGCATAGAGCAGTAACTTGTCAGGGCTTGGACTAAGCGGCTCGCTAGGATATCAGTTATCAGGCCTGAAATCAGTAACCAAATTGTGAGTTGCCCCAGTGATTTCCTGTACCGCACTGACCATCGTGGTAATGCAACTTAGTTGAATTTTCCTTGTTTTACGTAGTACAGTGATGTCAGCAATAACAATCTCAACGGCGATCTTCCATACCAGCTTCCACCAAATGTGGTTCAATTGTGAGTTTCTGGTTCTCATCCATATTCAACTCTTTTTTTTTGCGTGCGTGGGTTCATGCCTAACCCAACACATTCTCTTATGTTTTTTTTTTCTTATTGACGCAGAAATCTTTACGGAAACTCTTTTACCGGAGGAGTTCCATATTCGATATCTCAGATGGGTGATCTGGAAACACTGTAGGAATTCCAATTCACATTGCACTCTATTTAATTGTTTGCTTTCTGTTCCCTTCACACGTCCGTGATTTTTTGTTTGCATCAATCACCATATAATTCCTCATTTGATTAAACTGCAGAAATGTGGGCAAGAACCACCTAAGTGGGCAGTTGACGGATATGTTTTCACAACTTTCAAAGCTCTCAACATTGTAAGTCAAGCAGCGAATTCCCAAGTTTTTGGTATCTATAACAGGAATTTGTTATCTACGGTAGTTGCTAGAATGTTATTGCAGTAAGCCTGTCCTGTATGACTAACCTCAATTGTTTCATCAGGGATCTCTCCTTCAACCGCTTCTCAGGCAGCCTGCCCCAGAGTTTTCAGCACCTAAAAGACCTCAAGACGCTGTAAGGGCACTCCCAACCATGAAACTAGATGGTTTCTATGTTCATTAATTAGGGTCAACTAAGCAAAAAGATGATGTGGCACTTTCATTATAGAAGAGAGATGAGGAAATGGTTTCTTATAAGAAACCATGTCTACATGAGAACCAAGGCACTAAGAGATGCGATTGGTAGATGATGGAGAGAGAAGACATGTGATTGGACAAAAAGTTATTATGTAGAAACTATCCATTGGGAACATAGTTCCTATATATAGTGTCTACATAAATTAATAGACATAGAAACTACCCTTTGGTTTATAGCATTGGGACTGCCCTAAAGGAACTGAAATTTACACAAGGTAGCAATTCATCCACACACTCTTTCAGATCTGCAATGAGTGCCATTCTTTTCAAAATGTATGCAGGAATTTGGAGAGCAACCAATTCAGTGGTCATATAGATGTTCTAGCCAAACTTCCCTCGAGGATCTGTAAGTATATCTCAAAGTAAACACACACTGCATAAAAACTACTCTTTTTCGCAAGTACATTAAAAAGCAATATTGTCCTGATGACTCCACGTATGCATTGCGCTGCCTCCGCACAGCAGTACAACATTAATAATTCAGTGAAAAAATGGCAGCGGTGAAAACTGTGTTGCCAGTTTTAGGCATGTAATGGGTATTCTATAGCCTATTTACTGGGCATACTTTGTGGAAACTACACTTATCTTTCTGAGAACTAAGCTATAACGGCTTCCCCTTTGTGCTCAAGGAATCTGCAGAACAACAAGTTTACTGGATGGATCCCAAGTAAACTAAAAGACATTAGTAATCTACAGTAAGTAGTAATTCCATCCGCTATAAACCCTTTTGTTGCTGTTGATGAATTCTAAAAGTCATTGACACATTCTGAAGGATTGGAGGGAACCAGTGGTCGTCCGGGTCAGCTCCTCCTGGTATGGAGAAGGGCTCTGCACTGGGAGGATCTTCAGGTGGAGGGGTGGTGCTGGAGGTGGAATAAACGGTATCGTCATCGGAGCGATTGTGATAGCAGTGCTTCTTGCAGCTCTGATTCTCTTGTCTGTGTTGAAGAGGAACCATACCTCTTCTGCCTCATCTCATTACATCATGGACGAGTCAGGTCACAACCGGTCATTTACCCCGCTAGTTGATGATGGGAAAGGTAAAGAGTTCATTTTGCTTTCTTTTAACATTTATGGTAAAGAGCTCATGTTGCTTTCTTTGCTTCAGCGATCAACATGAAGCCACTGGAGCATTCCTCGTCAATAAGCAGTAGGACACCGTCTGCAATGCCTAGCAAGTCGATTAGTGACAATGAGTTCGAGAACAAACTAAACTATTCGAGGCGGACCACAGATCCAATCAACCTTGTTACTTATTCATCATCAGACCTCCAAGCAGCCACTGGCAGCTTCCATAGTAGCAGGTTACTAGGTCAGGGGACAATTGGTGGCGTTTACAAGGCAAAATATGCTGATGGAAGGGTAAGACCTTACCGTTGCCTTCTTAAACAGTTAAACCCATGCCAAAGTAACTTGTTTGCTGATAAAACTTCAGTATTCTTCCTTCTGCATCTATAAAATTTAAACTTTCCCATGCAATATCTTGTCCAAAAGTGTTCTAAGCTACTCATCAATTATTTTTCAATAGTATAGTACCATATAAGCGGTAGAGTCTTACCACCTGTGACCGGAAGGTCCCGGGTTCGAGTCGCGGTCTCCTCGCATTGCACAGGCGAGGGTAAGGCTTGCCACTGACACCCTTCCCCAGACCCCGCACAGAGCGGGAGCTCTCTGCACTGGGTACGCCCTTTTTTTTTAGTATAGTACCATATAGTTGAATTGAACTTGATTATAATTATTATCGATACGCGTCAAATATGTTCTGTAGCAAGATCTTGAGTTGGCACTTCATACTGATCGTACACCTTGCATTCCCGTTGTCCTTATTGTCTCTCTCACACGCACACAAAAAAAAATCAGGTGCTGGCCGTTAAGAAGTTTGATCCATTGAGCTTCTCAGGAAGCAGCGACTTCATGGATCTTGTGAACAGCATTTCCAAGCTGCGCCATCCAAACATCTCTGAGCTTGTTGGTTACTGCTCAGAGCCTGGGCACTACATGCTGGTCTATGACTACAACATGAATGGATCCCTCTATGACTTCCTGCACTTGTCCGACGACTACAGCAAGCCGCTGACCTGGGACACCCGCGTAAGGATTGCTGTTGGTACAGCTTGTGCTCTGGAGTAAGTTGACAGCTAGTAATATTTATTTAGGCCTAGATAAAAAAATAATACATCTTCAGGCACAGAGGGGGTATGATGTTCGTAGTTCAAAAGAAAGGGATATTGACATTTCTTGTTGATTCAGATACTTACATGACGTGTGTTCACCTCCAATGATCCACAAGAACATTAAGGCATCGAACGTCTTGCTTGATGCTGACCTCAACCCTCACCTCACTGACTGCGGCCTTGCATACTTCTATGAGGTTTGCAGAATGTCTCTTAAAGAATTTGTTGAGCAAAGCATGAATGTAAAAAATTGTGATAACCAACTCTCTGCAGGATACGAGTGAGAGCCTGGGACCAGGGTACGATCCTCCAGAGTGCACAAGGTCATCAGGTTACGTTATGAAGAGCGATGTCTACTGCTTTGGTGTCGTCATGCTTCAGCTATTGACCGGTCGGAAGCCCTACGACAGGTAATTAATTGAAGAAAAAAGAAGATAGCATCCTTCCACTCTGGGCTGCACATTTTGTGATTCCAGAACAGGCAAAGCTTGCCTGCGGAAGTGAAACATTGTGTTTGTCAGCCATGCTCAGAAACATGGCTGCAGTTAATATTCTGATGTCGTTTTGTGACTCCAGCTCGAAGCCTAGAGCAGAGCAGTCCTTGGTCAAGTTTGTCACTCCACAGCTTCATGACATCAACACCTTGGAAGCTCTGGCAGATCCAGCTCTGCGAGGCCTATATCCACCGAAAGCATTGTCCCGTTTCGCTGATGTCCTTGCCCGCTGTGTCCAGGTGAATCGATCGAAATACCCAGAGATGATCTTCATCCAGTGATGAATTGTTTCAGCTACAACGCTGAAGCCCCTGAAACAAACATCAACTCGGAACTGAATTACTCTGAACATTGGTTTCTGGTGGTGTTGCAGTCCGATCCAGAATTCCGGCCATCCATGTCAGAGGTGGTGCAGTCGCTCCTCCAATGCGTCCAGCGCACCACCAGCAACAGGAGGTTGGGTGGCCACCGCAGCGTCTCACAACGAAGCGACGATTCTGACTGGTGATGCTTCTGCTTCTGCTTCTGCGTCCATCTTGCTGCTGCCCAGTTGCTGAAACTGTCACAGAAACCTTAGGCGTGCCGCTCTTGACATGCCATTGTACAAAAGAAAAGGCTTTATTAGACAATCTGGTTGCTCAAACAGTGTGGCAACAAACAAGTCGGTTAATTTAGGTAAGGTAAAAATAGAGTGGGTGTTCTAGTGAGTAGTGACATTGTAATTGTATTGAATTCTGTTCAAATTTTGTTCATATAAGCTAAAAACATATGTGCAGCTATTTTTGAAAAAAAAAAACATCTTACCGCCAAGAGAACTGGTGGTATATTGCTACCGCCGAACCAAACGGCGGTATATAGTTGCCGCCAGAAAATATATAGGAGTATTTGAAAAAGAGGCAAATTTTTTTAAAAAATGCTGAGAGATCGGCCACAAGGCTTGCAGGCTCAGGCTTCAGCCCAGTTCGCCAGCCGACTACGTGACGGCCCAGAAGTATATGCAGGGCCCACTTCCGCAGACAGGCCGCAGCACATCGCTCGCGCCTCCACTCGTCGGAACTCTCGTCGTCTTCACCAAAACCATATAGCCGGAGAAGAAGTGAGCCTCCGCCAGTCCGCCTCCACCCGCCGCCGCCGCCGCCGCCATGGCGCTCCGCCGCATCACCCCGCGGAGGAGGCCCGTTCTTCCCGTCCCCCGTGCCTTCTTCTCCTCGAGCCCCCTGTTCCCTCCGCCCCCGCCTCCGGCGAACGGCGACCCCGACACCGCGCATTCCCCGTCCTCCTCTCCGCCCCCCAACCCCGGCGCGCCGCGGAACCCGTCGTCCTCGCTCTTCCAGGACATCAAAGATCGCCTCCGCTTGTCTCCCACGTCGCCCACTCCGACGAACCTGCCCCGCCCCAACCCCGCGCGCGGCGCTCCTTCTTCGAAACCGTCCCTTGAAGATGTCCGCCGGATGCTCGGGGAGTTCCGCCCAACCGGCGGCCCGCCGTCCCCCTCCGCTCCCGGAGCCGGCCCCTCCTTCATGGACCTGCTTAAGAAGAACAGCGTCGCCCAGGGCGCCAACGCTGGGCAGAGGGTGACCGGCCTCGATGCCATCCGAGAGAGTCTCAAGCGCTCCCCGCCGCGGACGCCGCATCGTCCGCCGACGCCGTTTCTGACTCCGCAGAGCAACATCTTCAACCCAGAGCTACAGAGGAACTTGAAGGCTGTAGGTGCGGAGAAGGAAGAGAAGGACTCTACCATTGCGCTTTTGAGGCACTACAGCTACGAAGAGCTTGGGAAGAGGCTAGGGGAGCTCCGGCCAGCGGTTGCGGCCAAAGACGGTAAGGAGTGGTTCTCGCTCAAGGAGCTGCAGGGGCGGATTGCCAGGCTGGCGGAGTTGGAGAAGCAGGAGAACCGGCTTTCCGGGCAACTTTCGGAAATCAAGAATTGCATTGGGAACCTGAACAAACAAGAAAAACCGGCTCTGCCATTAAACATACCTTCACTGCTGAACCTTGGCGGTCAGCTGACGCTAGACTACATGAGTCGGCCTCCGCAGGAGGAGTTGTTAGAGAAGGTGAGATTGACCTTTTATTTTCCTGGTCACTAAAGTATTCCTTAGTGTATTTACATCTTAGGATTAGAATGTGATCTACTACTGCTGATCCAAGTTGTTATCTTCAGTACTTCCATCCAGATCATATGTCATCCGAAGAGAAGATGAAATTGGAGCTCCAAAGGGTGAGGGATGAGTTCAAGATGTCCGAGAATGACTGTGGGTCTGCACGAGTTCAAAGTAAACACTTTATTCTGTTCTTCTTGAGTTCGAAGTAAACACTTTACCCTCTTCTTCAAAGTAAACACAAGTTCAAGTGTGCATTCTACTTGTGAAAGATGTAGTCACAGTTATGCGGAAATCAGAATAGCGAACAAGCAGGCGTTCTACTAGTGAAAGATGTAGTCAAAATTATGCGGAAATAAGAATAGCAAGCGCAGTATTTGTTCTTAACTAGATAGTACTTTTTCATTGTTTTCACACATTTTGTTCGTTTTGAGGTTGCATAATACGTATACAGAAACTCTGTGTTTATTATTTATGCTACGAAGTTGATTTGTAATGTTTGGTTGTTTATTTGATGCTTATATATATGAAACAAACATGTAGCTATATATGAACTAAATAGTGAACACCTTTCAGCTTTGTCAATCCCTTGCTGTCAGACCCTTGTTCACTGGGGAAAAAGCATCACCTAAGCATCAGAACTTTTATCCCTTTTATTTTTCTAGATGAGGTCTCATAGCAGATCTGATGTATGTTTAAAGATGTTGAGCATTGTGTATTTGTATGCCTTGTTGCTTTGTTGCCTTTTGTATGTGAATCATGATGCGTGTTACTGATATGTCCATATTTCGTTTGCAGTTGCCCAACTGACTCTGAAAATCAAGCATCTGTCAGCTGTTCTCCACAAGAAGGTATGCAAAATCCTAGGCCTCCCTTATGATTTATTCTGCTGGTTTACTGCAACATCTTGGAGCAATGATTTTGGAACTGTTTTATCTTGATTCAAAGAAGTAACTTGTGTGCACTGTTGTGATGCAGGATAAACATTCTAGAAAGGGGCTTCAGGAGATGGTCCAAAAGAGGAAGAAATACCTGAAATACTTGCGAAGAACCGACTGGGATTCGTACTGTCTTGTTCTGTCAAAGCTGGGGCTCCGCGATGTGCCCGAGTACAAAGCTCCTGACTACAAGAGCAAAGCAACCACCAAGGCCAAATCTAAGAAGAGCAAGAGCAAGGGCAAGGGCAAGAAGAGAAAGATGAAGGCATAGGAGTGATGAACAAATACGCCCTTTTTGGCCTTGAATTGCATGGTTAGAAAATGAATCGAGAAGGCGCGCAGCCCCCAGATGGCTCGTCCCAATCTTTCAATGTTGTATTTTTTATTTGAAGCTGTTTGTAATAACCAATTCTCTGGATGCCGAGGTTTTTCCTTGTTCTGCTCCTTGTTCTGCTAGGAGCTGTAACCTTTCTGTAACAATTGATTTCTTATTGCTTTTGAGTTCTCCCGCTCAATTTGCTGAGAAGGGAATGGAGGACCAGATACGACAGTACGATACCATTACGTTATCACCAGTTTGTAACTTCACCAGAATTCTTTGTTTGTTTCATGTAACTTTCGCCAGAATTCTTTGTTTGTGACTTTGTGTCTCATGTAACTTTTGCCAGAATTCTTGTACAAGAATGCATGAACAATCTTGCTAGCCTAGCAACGCAACCACTAGAAATTCTGCTAATTTCTACTGGTTTTGATAGGAACCAGAAATTGCATATGGTTTTGATAGAAATTCTGCTAATTTGAAGGCCGCGAGATCAGAAAGGAGGCTCCCACGGCCGACCCGTCCTCGGCCGAGGAGCGCGAAAGGGGTCGTACTAACTCAACTTGCTACAGGCCAGTGGACTGGACCTGCTTACACTCGACAGCCTATACAACGAGGCGGTCATCAGGTCCAGTGTAGCCGATGTACGACCCGTTCAACACCTCCAAAATCCCATTGCCGCAGCCTGGAACGTGTAGATAGCTGTCATGGAGCAGCAGCAACATGCCTTCATGCTCCAGCAGCAACAACAGCAGATGACGATGCCACAGCAGCAGCAGCAAGCTCCTTACAATCCGTTCGCCGACCCATATATGCACGCCGGCGCCCACACTTACGGCGCAGGGATGCAGCTCCATGCAAGCAACGTATATACTGGAACTGGGATGGATGATGTGGCGCTGCACAGAATCTGCTGTCTGGTTCTGACAGACAGCTTCCGTTCTTTTATTCTTCTTTCTTTTGCATTTATTTTCCATTGTAAGAATTGTGTTAGGACTAGAACTATGGAAAAGGACATAGACCTGATGCTCTGTGGACAGGAAGTGAAATGCAGGTATGAATATGATAGTGTTTCTGGGTCATAGATAATTCAAGCAAAAATCTGTACGGCCTCGTCTACAAGCACCAAGCATAAATTCACAAGCTCAGTCATGCCACATTGCTACACGTCAAAAGCTTCCAGACCTACAGTACAGAACCAAAACACGCATGTTTTAAACTACCAAACTATCAACCTCTAAGAGATCTTCTAGTCTTTCACACACTAATTAAACAGATCATACAACGTTACAAAGGTTGTACAGCTACAAGTGAAGAACTTAAGCTCACTAAAGCACTGCTTCATGGCCTAGGAACGTTTCACATTGCAGTGGCCAGGATAGTTTCATTTTCTCTGCACACTCTGGTTGAAATTTTCCTGCAAAAACAGAATGGGTGTGTCAGTAACACAAGACATCCAGATTAAGTAGGAGGATTGATGACATGAGTTTAATTTTTGGCAACGAACAACATTTATTACCTGCATGGGCCAAGCTCAAAAGCTTTGGTCAGTTTAAATGCGAGCTGTGCAATTGCAATCCTCAAGGCTGGTTCCGTGGATACACCTGTTGCAGCTTCCTCCAATGCAGAAAGGAACTCCTTTTGTGCTCTCACAGATGCAAATAGCTGACTTGGCTTATAAATCGTGCTTAAATCTGCTAACTGGGGCAACACATGCAAATCAAAGTGGCAAGAGTAAGTTCCACAAGCTTTTGTTAGACTCATTACTGTACGATAGCAGATACCCAGATGCAATTTTTGGATTGCAAAGCATGAAAGGAATAAGCTACGGGTTACATATATAGTCCTGGACTAGCCTTGCACAGCAAGGAAACCGAGTTCCAATCTAATATGTAAAACAAATTCTAGTGAAGTTACCTGTTGAAGCCAAGGCAGTGCCAAGTCGAAGAACTTTTTATTAAGAAACTGGTCAGCTATAACCCTCAAAAGCTCACTTGCTGTCTCACACGACAACTTCTCAAGAACTGGTCCAGTTCTATCCATTAGGTCAATCAGATCATCATAATCACGACAGTTCAGGGCTTCCATGTATGCAGGCTCCATGCCATCAGTATCTTGAAACTCACCAGGCTGATTAGAGGCACATAATGCATTTCGCAGTCCTGATTGCTCACAGGAACTGGTAAATGAAACTGGATAAGTCCCTTTAACCCCTGGTGCTCGACTTCTTGCTGAGCTTGGAACATATCTTCCCAAGTTACTCTCTGAGCTCACAGGCTCAAACTTCCTAACTTTACTGCGAACATGATCCTTTGGAAATTCAGCTCCCTCTTTAGAACACATGTTTGAGCCCCGAGATGGTAGATCACGCATCCACTTCTTCTCATGTTTCAACTGTGAGATTGGTGGTGGCTTGTAGTTAACATCCACAGATGATCTAGGTGTAGAAGTAGAAAGCCTAGGCAAAGAAGAGACGCTTTGGTTCTTAAAGTATTTGGAGCCAGGAAGATGATACCGGCTTTCGCTCTGAGTAATTGTATACACAGTTTTGTCTACAGCATTCTCCAAGTTGTGCACCTTCAAATTTAGCACAGACATGTTCTCCGCTGAGCTGGTCATAAATTCCTACAATGAAAGGGGGGTAATCATTTGAGAAAAGATATGAAGTCACTTCTTTACATACATGGTGTTTTCATATGAATTTGCAGATGGTGCATAGTTTTTTCCAACATGATGCAGTGGCAAGGTAAAACTTGACAGAATTTGATGACGATCATCCTTACTATCAATATGCATTGCCATTTTTACTTAAATTGGCAAGTGGAGAGTTTGAGGAAAGTAAAATGTAAAAATAAGACAACAGATTTAACCAAGAAGCTTAACAATATTGTAGGCTAGTATAAGAACATAAAGTGCACACTGAAGAACTGCAACTAATTTGAAATGATATTATACATCCCACATGTTCGAGAAAAAATATTATACATCCCATATAGCTGGAATTATTAGCTTTGCATTATAACTTACAGTATTACCACATTGATCGATATATATACAACTCCATAATTAGGTAAATATAGACACAAATCAAATTGACAATATCTTCACAACTCAAAGCATGACAGTTACCTGCAACAAATCAAAAAAAATTGTTTGCTTCCTCTCCATCTCTTGAAGTTGCTTCCTAACAATGGCCAATTCATTCATAGCACTCAGACAACAACTATGTGTGCCATGAGCAGTAACATCTGTAATTGTCGAGTCTATGCTCTTACTTTCTTGACCCCTGGGACATTGTTCCGTAACTTGTGTTGAATCACAATCTTCAGTGCATTCCTGAGCAGTAGTGACATGCTTTGTCTCACAACTCCTGCTGGCTACTTCTGACACAGAGGAGCATTCTTGTTTATCATCCATAATGTCATAGTCAAACTTACTGTCTACATCAACGCTTTCATATGCATTTCTCTTTGCATCTTTTAGGATGCAGACTTTACTGGATCCCTTCTCATCATTGTCAACCAGTGGCATCATATTCTGCTTTGGAACTGACACCTCAACACGCCAATCACCAGACTTCATTCGCTGCAAATTTGCAGCATTGTTTAGGGCAACTTTGTTGATAGACAAAGGAGACCTCCGCTTTGCTGAACTGATAGAACTACCACTGATAACAGATACGGAAGGCCCATGGTCTGTTCTCCTAAAAGAAGTATCTCTTGATCCTCCATCATGTATACTTCTAGTGTCATGATGGTCTCCAAAGAAGTTCTCTGTGAGAACACATTGATAGGCAATAGAAAATAAGCTAAGTTAGTGACTCTGTTTGACTACAGGCAAAATGCAGAAGCAATAAAGAGAACATGTGAAAAAAAAATAGTAGAAGGATCTCATTAGCTAGCAGCATTACACGTTAATCATAAACCATAAGGCATTAACATGGTATTGTGGTATTCTTTGATAGCCATTTAAACTCACACTTTCTTTTGAATAATAGAACTCAAAGAAAGGTTGGAATCCATGGGTTGTGTAACATTAACCATGATCCCAAAAAAAAAAAAAAAAAAAAAAAAATCTAAGAGCAGTAGCATTGCTGCCTCAGCAACTAGAATACTTTTTCAGTTATTTGATTCTTTTAGTTGATTAATTATCTGAGTTAAGATGCATAATCTTGGAAGAGTTGACAAATGAGAATAGAGTTGCTTATATACAGAAACATCATGTGAGTTCTGCTTAGCTTATTTATTTTGATAATAAAATATTTTTTTAATGAAGAACAAGAAAGATATATGTATGTTAACTTTTTATAAAATAAAGATTAACGGATTTGAAATAAATCAAGAAAACAAACAGTGTTATATCTGTTTTGATCAATATCAACTGTTAAATGTAAATTAAAGGAACATCTTTTGTACCTTTTGTTGATGATCCAGCTTCTGATGGTTCAGGAGTATGAGACCCTGGAATAGCTTTCCACAGCTGAATTGCATGTATAATGGCATCACGTACTGGTTTTACCTATCATAGGAGGCATGAAGTCAGTAAACCAAAAAAAGAAATATGTTACAGCATAAATTCCACAGGTACAAGGGAGTGAAGGGATACCATACCTTGTCAAATTTACTGCGCTCAAGGGAGCGAAGGCAGGAAGTTCTGAAAGAGGTAACCAAATACCCAGAACTGACCGCAATACTTGAAAGAGCTAGTGAGGCAGCCTTTCTTGTATTCCAGTCAGTACTCTTCAGCGCATCCATAATACTTGTTAGAGCTGATGATAACGCCTGCTCTGTAGAAGCACCTTCAGCCTGAAAAAGAGGGGCGCAGGAAAAAATAAGTACACTAACACAATGTAAGATCTTATGGTAGATTGGTAGTTATAAGCTATGAAACCAAACTGAAGATGAAGATGATTACTGTACTTCTTGAAAGATATTAAGAAGTGCTGCTGAATT